TATATTATTTAAAAACTTTATAATATTTTTATGTATCTTGCCTCTTTAAAATACTTTCTCTCATCCATAGTATTAGATTGTTTTCAAAAGTTATTCAAAGTATCTTCTTAAAATAATTAAAAATATGTTTTTTTATTCTAATTATTTTCAAAAGTTTAACTAAACATCTTAAAAACTCATAAAATAGATTTTTTAAAAAAAATAAGTGATTTTTTCATGAAATAAATTAAAAAAAAAGGGCCCAGTGACTATTTAATAATAAAAAATGATATTTTAGTTTAGGCAAACAACTAAAACCTAATAGCAAATTACAAGTACTTGTATTTTTCTATCATTTTTTTATCAGTAAAATGAAACATATGGAAGATAGTGACTATCAATTTTTTACCAGTAAAATGAAACATATGGAAGATAGTACTATTTAAGAATAAGAAATGACAACTTCTTTTTGACAAATAATTAAAACCTAATAACAAATTACAAATATCTTTTTGCTATTTTCTTCATCAGTTAAATGCAACTTATAGAGGAAAAGAATTACTTAAGAATAAGAAATGGCAATTTCTCTCAGGCAGGTGACGGAAATCTAATAACAAATAAAAGATGATAGAAAGATACTTGTAATTTGCTGCTAAGATTTAGTTATTTGTTCAAGAAAAATTGCCATTTTCTATTATTTTGCTGCCACTGTCATCTATATGTTGCATTTTACTGATACAAAATTTTTACTTGCTTTTAGATTTTTCTTCGACAAGCACTATCGTGGATCTCAAAATTCCTTTCTAGTGGTGACACTGCGAAAACATCGATTGTTATCCCCTGCATTGCCAGGCCTTTTTGTTTTTTTTTTTTGCTCCTAACGAGAACAGAGAATGCTCATCGGCTGTGGTGTAAAACATTAGAATCATCGTTTCGGCTTTCTTCCAGTATTCTTTTTATCTTTTATCTTTTGAGCAGGTGGACCCAAGTTTTTGATCCCCTCTTTTAATTTTTTAATTGTAAACTTTTCATATATCTTTTATATATCTTTTAATTAAAGTTGTCCTTTAATTAAAAAAAAGATTTTAGTCATTTACTTAAAGGAAGTTGTCATTTATTATTCTTAAATAACCACTATCCTTCATTTGTTACATTTTACTGAAAGAAGTTAGAAAGGCACTTGTAATTTACCATTAAGTTTTAGTCATTTATTTAGTCTAAAAAAGTTGTCATTCCCTATTATGAAGTAGTCACTATTCCCCATAAGTTGCATTTTACACAAAAAAATGGCAAAAAGAAAAAATTGTAATTTGCTATTAGGTTCAAGTCATTTGATCAAGAGAAGTTGCCATTCTTTATTCTTAAATAGTTACTATCCTCCATATGTTGCATTCTACTCATGAAAAAAATGAAAGGAAAGTATAGTAACTTGCTATTAGGGTGTAGTCACTTATTCAAGAGAAATTGTCATTTCCTATTAAGTAGTTACTATTCTCCATGTTGCATTTTACTAATGAAAAAATGACAAAAAAAAATACTTATAATTTGTTATTAGGTTTTAGTTATTTGCCCAAAATTATTATTGTCAATTTTAATTCGAAAAGTTAATTGAAGTTAATAGCAATTGGAGAGTATTTAAATGTAATTTAATTTATTAGATGATAATTGGACTTAACTTATGACATCATCCCAAGATAAGATTTTTAGAAAATTATATATATATATATATATATAAATTATTTTGTCACTTGGGACGAGACGATCATGATCATACAAGTAGAGTTTTATTTTTGACGGTCATACAATTTTAAAACAATTCTTAATAATTATAAAAGAGGGTTAGAATATTTTATAAAATAAATATGCAAAGGAATGATAGAAGTAAAATAACAGAAAATAAGAAATAAAAAAATTGTCAAAGTGAGTTCCAGCAACTTGGGGCTATTTGGTTTTCTTACTTTTCACATTCAAAAAACAAATTTTATTTTCAGAAAGCTGGAAGTTATTTGGGTAAAATATTTTGCAGAAAAGCACATCCTGAAAGTATATTTAAATAGTAGTTAAAAGCAAATTTTTGAAACGAAACTATTTAAAACTTTTGAAAAGTGAATTTGAAAAGTAGGATGTTATTTGACCATACTACCTCAAGTTTAATCTCTTATTTTTTTATTTAAAAAATAGTTAATTCATTAAAAATATAATTATTATTCAATAATAATAATTAGGTATTAAGTTTTTAGTATTATAAATTAAATAATTAATCATGTTAAGTTTTAGTATTAATATATAATAAAAATTATAAATCTTTATCACATTTTCTAAAATTAAAAATTAAAAAAATATAAATAACTAGAGATCAAATTTTTAGCATTATGGATTAAAATTTATGTTATTTAAAATCTTTATCACATCTTTGAAATATTTTAAATATATTACATTTGTATAATAAAAATTATAAATCATCATAAATCAATGTCCTTTTTAATAATTGTACATTCAAAAGTACATTTCACTATTATAAATTAAATAACTTTCAGTGTATCAAACTGACTTTTAACAAAATATATTCAAACACAAATTTCATTATAATAATTAACTTTTACTAAACTGACTTTTATTAAATAGACTTTTATGAAATGAATTTTTGTCAAAGTGAAAACCCAACACACATTTGGTTGTGTTATACATTTATCTCTGTTTTTTTTTTTACCCAAAGTCAAACTTTGTTCATTAAAGAGGCCATTAGTGCGCAGAAAAGGGCCAACTGCACATGAAAATAAAAAACCAAACAGGCAAGGCAAGAAAAAAAGACAAACCATAACAGAAAAAAAATGGCCACCAGAAACTGAAGCCTAGATCGAACCAGCCAGCCAGCCAGCCACCAGGAGTGAAGAGCTACTGATATGAAGGAGACAACTGAAATACTGATGCAGCATCTGCATGATAATCATAGACCAGTCTACCTGAAAGGCACTGAAGAGAGAACAAGTTCTCATAGTATTAGCAATCGCAACTCTGCCTAGTAAGAGCAGCCATTGTCAGAGGCAACTGGGTCTCCCAAACTGATAGAATCCATCTGAGAAGATGTCAAGCAGCCAGTAGTTCTAGTAGCTCCAGCAATTCAAGTAGTGATTCCTCTTCATCAAGCGGTATTAATTAAGCCTGTTCACTGTCAATTCTGGTCTGTTGTTTTTCATCTTGTGTAACAGCGAAGCTCTTAAGACAAATGATGATCAAGATGAATGTGGGTTGGCGGATGAAGGATTGTTTCCTGCTACATTGGCTTTCCTTGATGCTGGCATCGTAACTGGCTGATGCTACTGACACGCACACTTGATTTTCAGGGGTTTTGCGCATTGCTTGAAGATTTCTATTCGGTAGTTGTTGACTGTGTTTTGACCTAACTATATGTTTCAAAAAAAAAAAAAGAAGAAAGAAAAGTATGAAAGAAAACTCCTAAAAAATAGTTCAAAAAAATTATTATTTTTAGAAATTTCTCCTTGTAGTACTTTCTCTTCTCAATTTTCTTCCTATTTTTTCCCTCTTCCAAACCAAGCCTAAGTGTAAAAATTAGCACTGGGAAACAAGATGTAACTATAGGACAATACTTAAGGCAAAACCAAAAATACTTCCATTGAATGAAGGTCTGTGGGAGGAAGCTGAACAGAGCTTCTTCAACATGATGCACCTGTATTAGCAGTAGGATTAGACTCAATAGAAATTGTGGTTCTTGAGATAAATTCTGATGTGGAAAACTAAATTTTTTTTCTCACTAGCTAATCATAACCAAAAGATTCACAAAGTTTAGAAACTAAATGTTTTCATACTGCACGAGTCAGGGAAAATAGAGCAAGTGAGAAATAAATGGCATGTTTTCAAATTGTGGAATTTTACAAGGAAAAATAGAGGTAACCTAAAGTCATAGTATTACTACTTTTTTTCCCCCCAACTTATTTCCTATTCCAATACCACCCATGGTGCCTATTTCTCTTGAATTGTCTTCTAATGGATATTAAAAAGGAAACATGATGATTCTGAAAGCCCTTGTCACTATGTCAACCTAGATAACTGAAAATGAAGTATTAGTTGGCTTCAATTTTTGACATTGATTTGCATTGGATTTCTAGGTTCTATGGGCTTTTAGGTAGAGTTGGAAATACGGGCGAGTCCGGCCCTTATGGACTCAGTCTTTAATACCCTGAGTCTTACAGCCTCATTTCTCATTTTTAATTCCATTTCTCAAGCCCAGCATTTATATGAAAAGCCTTTTTGTAAAAAGTAAAAAATTAAAATAAAATAAAATATTATAAATTTATTAAAATATTTTGAAATTAAGATTCTCATAGTTTTTTAGAAATTAAATAACACATATTTAGAAGTCTAGTAATAAAATTTAAATCTTAGTTAAAAAATAGTTCATTTTTTATAAATATACAAATATAATAATTATAGAAAAATAAAAATTATCAAAAATTTTATACTATATACTTATTAAATTATATTAAATTAATTTTAGAATAAATTAAAATTAATAATAATATAATACATATAGGATTAAATGAGTAGGTCATTAGCTTTAAATATATATTCTACCAAAAAAAATAATAATAATAATATAATAGGGCTTGAAGGGCCGTCCGAACCTGTAACATCCTGATTTTTATATAATAAAGAAATTGTGAAATTTAGGTTTTGAGAAAAAAATGATAATAATAGGAATTTATATTATTTGAGGTTATTTAGAAATAATATTATGATTAGGTATTTAATTATGAATTTAAAAATTTAAATTTAAAACCACATAAGCAATATTTAGTTAAGATATAATACATAAATAATTTTTTTTATGTGTGTGTTAAAAAAAAAGAAGGTAGAAGGAACAAAAAAAGGGGGGTGGAAGATTGTTGTTTCTAAGTCCCACATTGGTTAGATGAGGGAAGAGAAGAGGTGCCTTTATGTATAAAAAGGAGGGGGTGTGTGCATTAGGAAGCATGAGAGGCTAAGATGCAATTTAGAGAAAATTGCAACTTTTGGCCCAAAAGTTTGAATAATTAAATTCAAACCTATAGTTCTTTTTAATATAATTTTGGGACTCACAATCCCATTTTTATATTATTTTTTTCTCTTCCTCTCACATTGCTCGGCGTTTTCTCGCAAGGGGGGATTTTTTTTTTCTTCAGGTATGTTCTAACTTTCCTGTTTAGATTAGCATTTAAAAATTTATTTAATTACAAAATTAATTTTATAGTTATTTTCTAAATAATATTAGCTTTCTAGTGATATGATTATTTTGTAGGATAGAGTAAATATTCTGATTAGGATTTTTCTATAGGATAGTTAATCTGATGATATGATGGAGTAAAAATATAGGTTAAAACTCTTAGGAATATAATAAATATTATAGAATATGTTCTTGAGGTTGAAACTCATGTTTAAGAATTTTTGAGTTAAAATCTAGATCTATATGGTTGAATTTATGTGGAATCTGAGATGTAGGGATGAACCTCTGATTATTAGATATTTATTTAAGTATGAATAGGTATTTTTGGGGTTATAGAAAGGTGATTTGAGGCTTCAGGATAATTCTAAAATTTTTAATTTATTTTTAGATGAATTTTTAGAATATAGAAGGATGAAATTGTGATACTAGAAGTGATTTGAGGCTTAAAAATAGTTTATTAGGGTACGAGAATTTTAGAAAAGAATTTGGGAAGTTAAATGAGGCATAAATCTTAAATTAGTGTTAATATGGATTATAGATCTAAGATTTTCTAACTCTTTAAATTAGAGTTATTTATTTTAATGTAAAATTAATATATAGTATTGTGAAATAATTATGTAGATTATATTGACAAAGATAGTGGTGAAAAAGGAGTTGTGAAGGGGAACTTGTTATTCAAGACACAAGGTAACCATTATTAATGTGTTGTGATGGGTGTGTTTGTGAATGGTTATGTGTTATTTTGTTGTTTGGAAAAATTATGAATTATTGAAAATAAATACTGTATATACTTGTTTGAAATTATTGCCAAGTGGGTTAAAAATTTATTTTTATTTATCATGATGAGATATTATTGTTCGGATATATTCCTGTTTGGATATTTGAATGATGCATGACTTGTCAGGGTATTTTAATGTATGGTGTTAATGGGAATTTCTGTTCGGTTAATTATTACCACGTGGTAAGCCCTCATTGGACCCAATGAGTGGCGTGTCGCTTGGTCCAACTCACCTTTGGCCGGGTGATTTGGCGTCCGAGCATGGTGAAAGGAAGATATAAGGTGCAGTCATGCAATTAAATACTTGTTCGGTTTGTTTGAAAATATTGTTCGGTTAAATGTTTTGTGTGCCCACTTAGCAATCGCATGATTAGTTACATCCGCATGCATCATTACATATTAATTTTTGGTTACTGGGACTTTTAAGTCTCATTTCCTGTGGTTAATATTTTTACAGGAGTGAGTCCGGCCGAGAAAGCACCAGAGGTGTAATTATAGTGTATGAGACACCATCTTTTACGTTGCCTCTTATTTTGAATTATACAATGTATCTTGTGCCAACTTAGGACATATCTTCTTTGTGGAGCATGTAAACTCTAATCCTTTTTATTAAATGCATTTATATGTTCAAGAGGATTATGTCTGTCCCTTTTAATTTATGACCTGATTTGAATAACATGCTATGAGGATCATGTCTGTCCCTCATGGTTCTAATTGCTTTTTAAGATATTTTAAGACCTGTGATATATTATCTTGGATGTATCATGGTAGAAATTTTTCTATCATGATAAGGGTATGATAAGGGTTCAATAAAAAAAAATGAGTTGTTGAATTAATAATTTGCGAAAAATCAGTTTGTAAAATTTGAGGGTGTTACAGAACCCAAATCCTTTTTATAGGATTTATCAGGGCTAAGCCCTTAAGGCCAATCATTTAAAAAAAATTCATTTTTAAAACTTGAACTCTTATTTAAATAAGGCTTTCAAAACTGACTCTTTAGGTTCAACCTTTGTTTCTGACTCTATTTTTGGGTTATGATTTTTTTTTCCCTCTAGGTGAGCAACGATGGGTTTAATTTGGGTTGCATTCTCAGATCGAAGTATAAATTAGTTATGTTTGCCTATGATATTCATTTTATGTGGCGAAAGATAGTTGCCTATGATTTTCTTGCCATGGTTGCTGGCCTGCCGTCCTGTAAGGAACAAGGGAAATGAAGCACCATGATTGTCGTTGTTTGATAGAGAAACGAAAGGGTGTAAGAGAAGATGAAATGAGATCCATCTAATGTGTATACGATTTTTTTAATTTTTTCAATTTAAGTGTATCTGTGTAAAAATTTTTGAGAGTAAATTTATACTTTAGCTCTGTAAAAAAAAACATGATGAAAGAAAAATAAGCATTTGGGATTCAAATATGTAACGAAGTCACTAACGAACTGAAACATGTTGAAAGAAAGGAGAACCACAAGCTGATTGTGCATCACTTGCATGAAGGCTAAAGTCCCATCTCCAGAAGAAAGGGCGTCGAAAAGGTGCTAATAAGAGAACCAATTGTTTACAGGTTGAATAGCCATGGGAACCAATATCCCAGATATATCAGTGCCTCCATCACTAGAGAAAAACGAAGAACACTGATTCGAGAGCAAGAAGCAAACAACAGCTCGCACGACTCCAGAAGAAAGCCCTAGCATGAGATGGTGATCACGCGAGGAAAATGGCTGCTAGATGAGAGAAGACCTACGACCATGAGATGAAACAATCTATAGAAACAGATAAAACCCATCTTCAAGCATAAAGGTGCCATAAAATGAGAATGAACAATTCTCGGATTAAAGGCATAAAGCTTGGAAATAGCAACCCATATCCACTGATCCAAAGACTATGGTTCCTCCAACGACCAAAACTCCATATGCAGACCAAAATTTATTTGCAAAGCCAAAGATGTGCGGCCAAACTAGTAAATGAAGAGGAGAGTAGCTTAAAAGAGCAAGGGAAAGCATGACACTTCCCATTTCATGCAAACCCAAACCAAGAAAGCCCAGAACAAGTAAAAAATTATCAAATAACAGGAGAATATGATTGATAAAAGCAATAAAACCCAAATTAGAAAACTACTGAGAACCCAAAAACTGAGGAGAAAGAAAGGTAAGGAAAATTAAAGGGCTAGAGAAGAGAGAAGAAGCTGAGGAGAAGTAGAACATGGAATAATAATAATAAAAAAAATTCCTTCGTCCCAAATTATAAGATACTTTTAGATAAAATTTCATATATCAATAAATTTCATTAAATACACTTAACAATCTTATCTTTTCAAAATACAAGTATAAACTTTCCAAAATACCTACCATTTAATATATTGAAAAGAAAAGTGATGGAAATTAATTATAAAGAGAGAAAAGGTAAAATTTGTGCATTTAATGAAACCTTAATTTACTCAAAGTGTTTTATATTTTGGATGAAAAAACTTCTTTAAAAGTGTCCTATAATTTGAAATAAAGGGAGTACAATGTTAAAGGCGATGCTGGAGAAAGTGAAGAGGGAGGCATTGGAATAAGGTGTAGAAAGCAAAGAAAAAGAACAATGGAGGAAACAACTAGGGAAGAAACATTTTCTCTCACGCTGACCTAATGACACACAAGGCTTCAATAGAGAATTTTGATATTTGTCTTTTTGATATTCCGCCTACTGATTATATAAGTCTTATAGCTTTTGACATAACCTGATTTCGATCTTTTGCATAGTTTTACTGTGTTCTTATATTAAAAAAGAAAACATTCTCTTTCATTTTTCACATTAGATTGTTGTATAATATGCCTTTTTTTTTGGAATCGTGATTATTTTGAAAAGTTTAAGCAAATATAATAAAAATTCATAAAAATATAATTTTTAAAAAAATTAGTAAATTTTTCATGAAATAAACTAGAATAAATGGGTTCTTAAGCTCTCCAGAAAAGACAGATGAGCTCTCCATTTCATCAGAAATTACTCCATCCATATATTTATTTCAAATATCAAAATAGAGACAAATTTGTCATTTGCTCAGAATCCAGTACGTCAAACAACCCCTGAAACTACACAATAATTATAATGGGCATGTTTAATTACATGTTTTCAAGAAAAAAATAAAAAACAAGAAACAAAATCATTTAAAAATGTGTATTATCTGTTATGAAAAATAAAAAAAGTTTAAAAATGGTGTGAAGAATTAAAAAATCAAAACATTTTTTTAATTTTTTTTACTTTTTATTATACAAAATTAGGGAAAAGACAAAAAATCATATTTTTATTAATGATAATTATATTAATAAAATAAATAGTTATTTCCCCCTTTATTTAACTATTTATATATGTTTTTCAAAATGGATTTAAATATTTTTTTTATTTTTTTTCTAAAACTTGTTTTAAAAAAATTATCTTAAAAAACTTTCTTAATAACATAAAAAAAAAATCTAAAACCAAACCAAACAAGCACATTTCACGATAGTTCCTTGTTATTTAAACGGTGGAAGGTATTTTTTCTGCCAATCTCTCAATTTTTAAAGGCAAAACTTTGGACAAAAGAGAAGTGTTGTTGAGCTACAATGTCCACCCGTTCAATTACTAGAGCCGTTTCGCCTTCTGCTTTTTGTGTGTTGTCAATAATAGTCATCCATCTTTCATGATTCTCCCGAAGACCTCATGCTTCCTCCACTGTTCCACTTCTTCAGTAAATAAATAGTAAAGCGGCGAATTGTGTCCGTGCTCCAGTAATCGATTCATTGTTGACATTGTAAATCCATCTCCATGGAATCCGCAGAAAGTTCATTGGAGCGACATCCTTCTTCGCCATCGTCTCATCATTCTGCGATATTCGACAAAGATCGCCATATCACGTTCCTTCAGATGATGTACCAGTTACTGCCACCTCCCTACCAGCTCCAAGAGATCAATCGCCTTACCCTCGCTTACTTTGTCATCTCTGGACTTGACATCCTTGGGGCTCTCGATCGGGTATTTGTTAGCTTCCATTGGGCAATTCAATGGGATTTGAACATGTAAATTTTGGGTCTCTATTTCTAGGTTGAATACTCCTTGAACAATTGTTGCGGGTCATTCTATGGAGCTCGACTGTATTGCAAAAGGGGCTGCCCTTTTGGGCATGTATGTAGTCACAAGTTTAGGTTTTTCTCTTGCACAGCCGAGTTAAAAGAACGTAGTTATATATGATGCTATGGTAATTAGCGATAGAGACGATGACATTCCTGTGAAAATGGAAAATTAGAATATCACAATGTATCAGTTCAAATACATTTTGTTTTGGGCAACTAAATTTTACCCCTAAATTATGGCCTGAATTCTAAGCTGTTTTGTAAACTTTTAAACGTCTTATAACACCCCCTTGAACTTCAGCATGAAATATAACATCAAACATTACTCCATGGGGATGGTTTGTCATACTTTAGAAGTTCATGTGCTAATTTTGCTACTAGGTGACTAGGTCGCAGTCTATGAGGATAGAATGTAGTTTTCCCTCGCTTTTCCCTCTTTCATTTTTCATGTTTTCATTTCTATGGAGCATGTCATAAGTAGTGGCAGTTGTGGCAGTCATACTAATTGAATTAGCAGCATAGGGTTGATTAATGATACAATGAGATGTCAACTTTTGTGAAAACCATGACATGGGCGGTGAGAGCGGGGATTTCATGTTTTTACTGAAATATAGAGATAAAAAATCTTACGTGATATTATAACTAACTTTAGAAAATATCATATAGTAGGTTTTTTTTTTTTCCCTCTCGATGAAATCATATAGTAGGTATTTATCTTTGGAAAATTTATAAATTGAATTCAAATGTTGAATTGTTGGTATATTTTAGCTTTTTTTTAAAACTTAAAGCATTTATTTGCCTCTATATTGTGGTTTATCATCTCACCACCAATTTCTTTTTCTTTTTACGTTTCTTTTTAATGAACTTACATTTAGGTTAAACTGTATGCGTCTTGTTGGGATACTGATACCCTATTGATGAAGCATCTCAAAATAAATTCTTGTTCAATGTCTTTAGACTGCTATATTATGTTTAAGCTATTATTAATATCATTGGTTGTCTTAACTACTTCTGTTAGGGTATGTTTGGGAGTTTGGATGACAAGGGAGGGGAAAGAAAGAGGAGGGAGCTAATGGTTAAATGATATATTTTCCATTTCCTTGTTTGGTGAATTTTTTTCCGGCAAATTGAAAGAAGTTAATATATATTGGAGGAAGTACTTCAGAGGATTTCAGAAGGTTAGCTGAAAATCCTTCAACATTCTTACATTCTTATTAATAACTCTCAAACAAGGGAAAGGTTCTCTTCCCATCCCTTCTTATTATCCTCCACTCAAACATACCATTAAGTGTCATTGTAAGATTACAATTAACATGTAAACTGTATTCTTATTCTACCAAATGTTATAGGTTGACAAGGATGCTGTTGCCAATTGGGTTTTGTCTTTGCAAGTTCGCCCTAGAAACAAGGCAGACAGACACAGTGGTATGAAATGCTTCCTGTGAAATTTGTATACAGCTTTTCGCAACATTCAATCTCTAATATTTTACTGAACTTATAAGCAGAATTAAGTTGATGTGGCTATCTTTTTGTTGCAGGACAATTCTTTGGTTTTCTTGGTTCCAGGACTTCACAGTTTCCTCCAGTTGTTAATCGGGTATGGAAAAACATGTAAAGTGCTAAACATCTTGTTCCAAGTTTTATGTGTTGGTGAACAATGTTAACTTGTTTCTGCAAAAATATGTTGAACATGTGCTTTGGTTTTTCTTGTAAATATTTTATTCCAATCTTTTTATGTTAGGGAACTTATCAAAATGTAATTCTGGTAGGATTTACTTCCCAACAATAGTCACTTGGCAAGTACTTACTGTGCCCTTGCCATACTGAAAATTGTTGGTTATAAACTGTCCAACAATGACTTTGAATCATTATTGACATCAATGAGAAATCTTCAGCAGCCTGATGGAAGGTATGCTTTGAAATTTCTGGCACCTCCTTAAGTAATATTCATGTTAGTTCCATGCATTCATATTGCTTTATTTTGCCGTATGTGGGTTGGAATTTACAACCATCATGATATGCTTAAATCAATTTTCATTCTGTTTAAAATTGATCTGTGTAACTTGTCATTCGAATTGCTTCTTATCCACCACAATTGTGCATCTGTTGTGGTAGCTTTATGCCTATCCATACTGGGGCTGAAACAGATCTGAGATTCGTATATTGTGCAGGTAAGAGTTATAATTAAGATGTTATTTAGCTGATTACTCAAATGACATGTTATTTCATATTATTATTACTTTTGTGCTGTATCAGCTGCCATCTCATTCATGTTGGATGACTGGAGTGGCATGGACAAGGAGAGAGCCAAGGATTACATATTACACTGTCAGGTTTGTGGACCTAGTCATTGGCTATTCTTTGGGCTTACACTATTATTGGTTCTGACTGTACATGATCCAAACAAATGGTGATATATCAATATACATTAAATTTGTGGTTTCGTCACCTTTTCCTGGTCTTTTCAGTCTTATGATGGTGGCTTTGGATTAGTTCCTGGCGCAGAATCACATGGTGAGTTTAAATAATTTTTATTATTTAACTTATCTTTATTGTGTTGGAAGATGGGCTGTTGGGTGTCGTTAGTTTCATTGTGGTGACTCTGGTGGATTATTTGCCAAATGCACTTGCTTATCACTTTATAAATCTGTTCATTCATGTTGATAGTAGTAGTATGAACCTGGGAGCAGCTCTCTATGGTTCACTGTCAAGCATGAGAGTCATGTTTTAACTGCAAAAGAGTGTTTACCATCTTCCTTCTGTTTGCTCCTTCCTGCATCCTTTATTTCCTTCCATCCTCTTCAGAGAGAGTCCTTTCTTTCTTTACGAGAAACCTATCAATTGCCAATCAGACAAAAAAGAAAAGACAAGAAAACTAGGCCTATCAGTTGATGCTAGGTTTTTTCTACCCACCTGATTCTCTCTTTTATCTCATTTAGGTTGTGTTAATTTTTCAGGCCTCAAGCATTTTACTTGGGATGTGCTATCTATAATTTTTACCTAAGTTGCATAGATACGGGTACGAATATCTTATATGATATAGCATGATACAGTGATATGCCAAAATTTCAAAATTTTAGGATACGGGTATTTATGATATATATTTCAACATTTTATGATATAGGTATAGGCATTTTGCCTTTTGAACAAGAATTTCTAAAGTAATATAAGGATATTTATTACAATCAACCAAAATATTATGTGTTTTTAAAGTTTTCAAGCAATATAGTAAAAAATTATTGGGAAAAAAAAATCATATTACAAATGTTAGAATATGGAATGCATATGCTAAAGTATCTTACAAGTATCGTATTGGATATGGATGCATTTACTTTTTTGAAGTATCTGTGCTTCATATCTTTTACATTGCAATGTCAAGATTATTTGAATAATTTGGACTTTTAACAATGAAGCTTAATCGATTTCATTATCCAAGGATATGGGTAGTTTCCTGGCTTTGATAGCAATTAACAAATATTTAAAATAGTTCAAGATTATTTTCTGCATTTCAAATGCTTAGTCTATGTGGTCAAATGAAGAGAGTCAAGTTTTGCATCATCTTTATAAAATGTTGAGAAAATATAACTTTGGATTTCTACACTTTATTTGTGTTTTACTATAAATCTTTGCACTTTTTTTCAGTGTTCTAGGTCTCTATACTTTTATTTTTTTGGTGTTCTAAATTCTTCCAAGGTCCCTATACTTTGTTTATAAAAGGACCTAGAACACTGAAAAACAAAAGTATAGGAATCTAGAACCAAAAAAAAAAAAGTGTAGGAACCTGTAAAAAACGAGCAAAGTATAGGGATCCAAAATTATATTTTCCCTAAAATGTTTTTGATGAACTATGAAAAATAAGATAAGGTCAAAATTTAGATTGTGGCCCACAATCACTTGATTGCATTTACATCCATGATCCATGTTATTGCTGCTATGTGGTTTCACAGACTCTTCCCCTGTTTCATCAATTTTTTTTAACTGTTCCATCAATATAAAATTCATGTTTCTTGAATATCTTTACTTGGGCTTATGCCTGCTGGTATATTTCTCAAATAATATCTATCAACATTAATTGTTTAATGGAATAGGTGGTGCAACTTATTGTGCTATTGCTTCTCTCCGATTAATGGGATTTCTTGAAGATGATCTTCTCTCTGGTTCTGCCATGTCTTCTGTGATAGATGTGCCATTGCTGCTGGATTGGCTTGTGCAGGTTTGTTTATAAGTTGAGGATTTATTATATTAATTCATTTTATTAAAGGGTTCAAGGCTATTTTTAAGGACTCTTTTTCCACAAATGCTTTTGAAGATTGAAACAATGGTTTGCTAACTATCCTTTATCAATGTTTTGGCAAAGTTAACTTTTAGCACTTGAAATGTTTTTTCTCAATCAAGATACCTTAATTACTTATTCTATTTTAGAGGCTGGGGACTGATGGTGGTTTTCAAGGTAGACCTAATAAAGTTAGCGACACGTGTTATGCATTTTGGTAAGTGGTATGAATACTTTTGGGAATTCCATGGTACAGCATTATAAATTTTTCATAGCTTTGACAGAATCACGTGCATATATAGGATTGGAGCAGTTCTGAGGATTTTGGGGGGCCACAAATTCATTGACAAAGGAGCTCTTCGTGGATTTCTGCTTGCTTGTCAATCTGAGGTACTGCAATCGCTAATTTCTTCGTACAAGGCCTTGTATTTTGGTTTTGTTGAAGAATGGAAAGAGACTGCATATTTGTATCTTTAGAAAAGGCAAGAAAAATAGTGACTAAGTTAACCTTGCTTTTATTCCGAAGTTTATTAGAAAAATGGTCAGCATCAAGTTTAATGGTAGGAGAGGGCTACAGTAGGGAGAGGCAGGGGAACAATGAGAGATTGAATGGAATCTCTTGCTATACTGGCTAATCCTCTTCCTTTGTCGTAACTTGCCTCCCCGAAAAACCTCCGGACCCCACAAAATAAATAATATAATACCATATGATATATATACATATATACAGTCCCATGCACGGATTCTGTGATGCTAATGGAACTTGTCAGCTATTGGTAAATATTAAGCAAATACTATAGCCTTGAATCTTTTAGATGCCAAGGTTGTTAATTATGGTAGTCGAACATGCTATGGCTTTACTTTCTTTGGATTACCTGGGGTGCTGAATGTCAAGTTTCAGTTTTTGTACAAATGAGTTTCAAAGTGCTTGATAATCAGGATACTTGCGTGCCAAAAGCCATTGGATTTTGCTTTATGGCCATCTATGGTAGAAATTGTTGAAATGAGAACTTAAAAAGTGAACCCTCCAAGTCCAAGGACCCCGTCCCTTGTTCTCTAGGAAATGAAAAACTACAATTGTTTGATGTGCTTTCATGAATGTGTGTGTGTGTGTGTGTGTGTTGGTGATGTGATGATATTAAATCTTTATGTCTCTTTAACCTTTATATGCCCTTGGCTGTCTAACTAATTTAGCTGCATATATTTGTTCTTCACCAGTATGGCGGGTTTGGTAAAGTTCCTGGAGAGCTTCCAGATCTGTACCACTCTTACTATGGATTTACTGCTTTCGGTCTTTTGGAAGAACCTCATTTGCTATCACTTTTCTCTGAACTGGGAATAACAGGACGTGCTGCAATGGAAGTTTGATTTCTCAATTTCTAGGCTCTGATGTGCCCTGCTGTTCAAATGTCAATCAATTGCTTTGGTCAATAGATTTTTTTTTATTTCTTTATTTTTAAATTTAGGTGAAGATGTAAGCCTACCACCTTGATTTAAGTGTATTCACTGTATGATTTTTATTTCATATTGCAAGATTTATGGGGTGCATAATGCACATGATCTGGCTGCGTTTATTCCATATTATAATTTAGATTTGTTGAGCAAAGTCCTTTACTATTCAATTGAGCGTCACATATTCTGTATTATTTTATTATTTTTAAAATCTGACTGCATGCATCTATTCGTGTGACGGGTGATAGGATTTTTGGTCTAATCAATCCTAGTTAAATTATATATTTAAAAATTTAAAGATGTGATACAGTATGAAAAATTAAAGAAATATAGTTTTTAGGATTCTCGATCGATATATCCTGCTTCTAAATTGATTTTTCTATTATTGATTATTTTGTTTTGGTGTTGGAACTTAGATTAGAAGTAAGACAAACACAATTTTACAGATTAGATTTAAATAATTTTCATTGTGGATTACCTTGAAAAATAATATTCATTAATCGATTGGATTTTACATTCCATGTCTCCACGATAAATTAAAAAGGACTAAAGGGGAGTGTTTTCACAATAATCTAATATTCTTGTTCTTCATCAAGGACAATAGGTTGCCAGATTTTAATGGTCGAAATGCTAGTCTACAGATTTGAGCAAATTTGAGACTCTCTGCGTCTGATCCACTTTGCTCTAGGTTATATCCATCACCCCTGATCCTAGAGATCTTTGTTTGCAAAACATCATCCTTCTATGTTGGCCGAATTATCTTTTCAATGAAATCTCAATTGGAAGTTTGAACTCGATGATAGTAAAATATATTCATTTTCTACTTGCAAACTTCAATGGAGTTCACACAAAATGCTTAAAAATGATCCTTGTACAGGCAAATGCGTGTCTTCCATCTTTTTACTTCTTATTTTAGTGTCTTGCTTGCATATTTTTATTTTTATTTTTCCTTTTTAACTATACTTGAACTATTTGTCATTTTGTCAAAAAAAAAAAAAGGATCAAAGGCCATAAAAGCATCATCCCGTACATGATCTTGCCATTCTCAATTGAGTCTCTCTTCTGTCTGCTGCAATAAATTAAAAGGGAGCAAATGGCCTAAATTGATTTGCCAATTTACGGATGGAATTAATAGGTCCATCCAACTTTTCATTACATTAAAAAAAAAAAAACAGACACATAATAAACCCATGTTGTATGGGACACAAGTTATATACATTTAAATAACCTTCATTACATTGATTGGATCTAGTACTTTCTATTGAACCTTATCTTTCTATGTTTTAGTATACAAATTTATAACATATTTAGTACACGGAAAAAAATATTTTCCAGAAAGAAAATATAAAATGCATCTTGACAGAAAATGTAATTGGTGCATTTCTCATTTCATTTTTAGAAACTACTTTTCTACCTACTAAATATTGCGTAAAAATATATGAACTCATAAAAGCATCATCGCCTACCTTATATTGTCCTCCCTTTCCCTGATTCTTTGCTATTCTCAACTGGGTTTCTCTTCTGTGCTCTGTAATAACTTGAATCTTGAAGGTGGCGTTGATGACTTGACTCTTTTGAGCTCTGCAGAATCATCATTTGCTGATTCAAAAGTAGGATTCAGACTCAAAGGGAGAGTAAAGGAATGAGTTAAACAAGGTGAAGTTGAAGCCAAAGGTGTGAAATATGGAGTCTCCACAATGATATTATTAGAATCACAGGGACTGACTCTACAACTGGACTTGTTCACACTCTCAGATTCTGAGCCTTCCTTGATTCCTTCTTCAATTGTGAACAAGAATCTTGGACACTGATTTTGAAATAGCCCTTCTGGATCATCATCATCATTAAAACCTGTGCATGATGATGACCTTTCTTCATAGAACATTTGAAATAGGTGTTTCCCAGTAATGTTGATGTCCTTTTCTGAATCTCTATGACTTGTTCTCTTCTTCCAACATAACAAGTAGCAAGCCTCAACAACCAGAAGTATCAGAAGGCAGCCAAAAGCCACACCCAAACCAAGACCCACAATACCCAATGATTTCATCTTTATGCTTAAATCACAGTGCAAAAGTAATTGAAATATATATATACATGAAGAAAGAAAAGCACCACCAGATGATTGGTTTAACAGGCACGGGAGTTATAACCTCTTAATCAGAGATTTCAAGTTTGAGCTTGAGAAATGCAGTACAAGTGTTGGTGGCAGAGCTTTTGTATCCAAAAAAGTCTTGACCCAGATTGATCCAGATTAGTCTAGAATCCTCGCTGAAGTCCCCTCAACTTGACATGATACCAGATGCTCTATTCAAAAAAAGAAAGAAGCTATGGGGTAGAGAGTTTTTCTGGCGATCAAATGAAACTTTATGGGTAAAAACTGACAGTTTCAGCCTCCTCTCAAAGGAAGAAGACCAGTGAAAAAGTATTTAATCATTTTGACTGAGAAATTCTTACTGATGGACACAATAATTAAGCTCTTTCTCTTCAGATAACAATATTGGGCTTGATAGTTTTAAAGACTCACAAAGCAGCAATATGCCTAAACTTGCAAGTCATTAGTTACCACGAAACTTTAGCTTTAATCACACTTTAGACAAAAACAAACTCAGGTGGATCAGTCTCATCATTACCCACAACTTTTTTAACAGTTTTTAAGGGGAAGCAAAGAAATAAAGATCCCTTGAACCATAAACTTAGGGGTGTGCACCAAACTTGTAATCCAACCAACCCAGTTAACTCCGGTTATATTTGATTAGGTTAGATAAGGTTAAAAAAAATTAGAGTTAGGTCAGAATTGATGTTCCCAAGTAAATTTATTTAAAAAAATTTTAAAATGTATAAAATTTAATTTTTTTTCAAAAAATAAAAAATAAAACTTGATAGTGGAAGTATAATAAATTCATACAAGTCTAAATCTTATATAAAATGTAGCAAGTCAACTGCTCTCCACAATTTTCTTTTTGGAAAAAAAAAAAAAAGACTCTCCACAACTAGTTTATCAAAATAGCTCCATTTGTTTGGGATAATATAACTTTTAATCCTCAGACTCTATTAATTATCAATCTAGTTATTAAATTTTGATTCAACACAATCAGTCCATGTGATTTATTAAAATAAAGAATTATAGGGATTGAGTCCTGTCAAGTCAAAAAACTATAAATATTGAATTATTTTAAATTGAAAAAACTATAAAAATTAAGTTGTCATGATTCAAAATTCAAGGACTTAATCGATAGTTGAAAAAAAAAATCACAGAATAAAAATTACATTTTTTTCCCTTTCTTTTTGAATGCTCTGGACCAAAATTGATAAGAGTCAAGTTAATCTCTTCATCAACTTATGGTGCTCAAATATGATAGTAGCAAGTTATCAAGTATACAAATTTCAGTTACATCATATATTGTTTGATGCATCGATATATCGTATGCTACAGCTAAAAGCATAATATGATCCCTATAATATGACCAACATCACAATAACTCTTGTTGTTATTATTGTTATTGTGGTAAGTTTTTTATTATACAAATAACAATAAGAAAGAATCAAATAAAGAAATAATTAATTAGCACCAAGGAGGATCTTGTCCTCTCAAAATGCTTTCATGTCATCGTCTGGAATTGAACAACAAAGAAAGAAGTCATGAATGAAACAAAGGCTGTCAAGACACACGAGCTTGCAATATTGATAATTTGATTAGTTAAGGAAAAAAAAAAAAAAAAGTCAGTCTCCAAAATCCAATGCAAGATCTTTCTGATCACCTAAATTCACTTTGGAGGATAAGTTTTATAAGAAATCACCTCTTTCTTATCATTCAAGATTTTTTTTTAGAAAAAAGCAAATTAACGTATGTACACTACAAAAAGATTAAAGTACAATTATATAATTTAAAATCAAAGAAAAAAAAATAGTTATCATCACAATAACATTGCTTTCAACACTTGATAATACAATCAACCTTGAAAAATATTTTCCAAATGCCATTGACTCTCAAGGTTTGTATCTAATAGATTAAAGTTCCTGAGAACATTGTGAATCCACCGTAGAGTCGATCTGACGCAAAGAAGGTAGAAGATTTGGTGTCTTGAATGTGCTTCCAAATAATAAAACCATTTAAGCAATGAGAATTTCATTGTATAACAATCTGACATCGAATCTATTGTTGTTTTTAACCTTTTCATTAAAATGTTCCATACAATCCAAGGAGTAGCTATAGGTGTAAATGCTATCTTTCCAGACTTAAAAGTCTTACAAGAAACTACCTCTTTAGTAAGAAAAATCAAAAAGCTAAGAGCCTATTTGAAATTATTTTTATTTTATATATTGTTCTAAGAATTATTGTTTCATAAAACGTGTTTTGAGAAAAAAAAAGGTGTTTTTTTCATTCTCCCCTATTCTCTTAAATAATAATCCCATAATACTTAAAAGATGTTTTTATTTTTTTATTCTCCAACACAATATTTTATTTTTTTATTTTCCAAAATATTTTTTGAATTAAAAAAACATAAATATGTGACTATTGCAATCCATCATGTAGTGTAAGTTCAATGGTTCAATGTGCAAGCTCTTAGAAGTCAAACAGCAGAAGCATAAAATATAAATAAGCGCAAAAGGACATAGCGAATAATAAGTGCAAGTTATTATTTCTTTCCTACACACAAAAGTCAAAGAACTTGAGACTTCTTTGAGTTTTAAAATTAGTGAACACACGACAGCATATGAATTTTACTTAGATGCCTATATTTGTTGTACATTGTTGACCAAACTCTGATTTGAGACCTTTCAATACGGAAGGCGATGGTAATGTAATATTTGATATGTAGAAAAGTATTTTTAAAAATAAAATAAAAAATATTTTTTATATAATAAACATTATCTAAGAATTATCTGAGTGTGAAAGCATGAAAAATTGAGTATAATCAAACTGGCCATTGCATGATGGGATAAAATGGAAAGTATGAAAGATTTATTGAACCATTTATGTGGGCAAAGGGGAATATGAATTCAATGAAAGATTAACCTCTGAGATTCTATGCAAAGTACCAATACTTTTTGTTTTTTTCTTTTTGGTCATGTACCGATATTTATGTTATGTATATACATATATATTG